ACCCTTCCCAGAATTGCTCCAAGTCAAGCACACTTAACTGTGGAGTTATTCCTTTTCAGGCTACCGAAAAACAGATGCATCTTGTTAGTATATGTAGTACCAATTAATTCTTATAGGCTATTCCCAACTGTACCGTCCCATACCAGCATAGTCTCTGGAATCCCTCTTTTTCGGGTATTGATTCGATTCATTCATGTACCCCTGTCCCTAGAAGTCTGTCAGGAGCCGCTCCTTGTTTGTGCCCTTTCGCACCATGCCCTTTCGCACCGGCGATCACTCCCCGCCCTCGTCAACGCCCGGGATGTTACAGATGGCAGTATAAAACTTTATGATCTTTGCTTTTTTTTCTATTTTATTTTTTGAAAATCATATTTACAAGGCAGAAATTTTAAAACTCTTGTTAGTTCTGAAAATTAGGTCAACACAATTATTACATATGTATTTGCAAAATATTATCACAATAAATTTAGAGGAAAATATCTTTTATATCAGAAGTCATTTACATATCGTACTGTATAATATTTAATTATTATATCAGTAAAGGGGCATAAATGGGTCTAGATGAAACTGAGGAAAGTAAGGTGGTAATTGCCCCTCAAAAAAAAAAGTGGCAACTATTACTTTGAGTCAATAGTAAATATTCACTTCTTGTAAATTGTGCTTTATTTATGTTTTAGGTGATTCCAAACTTGGAGTGGTTGAGAATAGACCATAAGGATGTTAACGCGATATTGCAAGCCCAAAATTTAGGTACCCTGTTCCCCAAAATGACATTTCTTGGGCTGGCTAGATCTAAGTATGAAGAGGCTACTTTTCCTGATTGGTTTCTCCAAAATGTATGTACTCTTGAGTGGCTACTTGTTGAATGGAGTTCCTACAAGAAGATATTCCAAGATGAAAGACAAATAACTGAGAAAATGTCTGCACGACTCAAAAAGTTGACTCTGTATGAATTACCGAAACTTCAACATATATGTGAAGAAGGGTCCCGAATTGACCCAATTCTTCAGGATCTTGAATACTTAGATGTTGATGAATGTCCTAGTTTGACAAACTTGTTACCTTCCACTGTTACCTTTAGTCACTTGACGTATTTGGAGATAGCAAATTGCAATGGGCTGATAAACTTAATTACATCTCCAACGGCCAGAAGTTTGGTCAAACTGACAACAATGAAGGTAAGAGAGTGTAATTCACTTGAAGAAATAATGACAGAAAAAGGAGAAGCAACAATATATGACATTGCATTTATCAGTTTAGAAATATTGATGCTGGAAAGTTTGCCAAGTCTCAACAAATTTTGCTCCAGTGAATGCTTCTTGAGGTTTCCATTGTTGGAAGAAGTTGTTGTGAAGGAATGTTCTCGCATGAAGATTTTCTCGGAAGGAAACACAAGCTCACCAAATCTTCGAAAAGTGAAAATTGCAGAAAATGATAAAGAGTGGCATTGGAACAGAAACTTAAATGATACAATAAAGAAAATGTTTGAAGATAAGGTACGCTTTGCTTTACCAAATGATTTCCAATGTAACAATAAATCAATGCATTACTTTTATTTATACAAACTATATTGAATTGTTTACACAGGTGGCATTTTGTAGTTTCAAGCATTTGAAACTATCTAAATATCCAGAGCTGAAAGAACTATGGTATAACCAACTTCAAGGCAATGTATTCAGTAATTTGACGCATCTTATTGTTCATAAATGTGATTTTTTATCCGATGTACTCTTCCAACCAAATTTACTCGAAGTGCTTACAAACTTGGAAGAACTAGATATAAGTGACTGTGGTTCTTTAGAAGCAGTGTTTGATGTGAAAAGTAAATTTGAAACAGAAATTCTAATGAAGAATTCTACTCAGCTAAAAAAATTAACACTATCTAGTCTTCCCAAACTAAAGCATGTGTGGAAGGAAGATCTCCACGGAACTTTGAGCTTTCAGAATCTATGTGAAGTGTCCGTCATGAAATGTGAAAACTTAACTAGTCTCTTTCCACTCTCAATTGCGAGAGATATCAAACAACTTCAAGAACTTCAAGTAGATGAATGTGGGGTTGAAGAAATAATTACCAAGGAAGAGGGACTGGAGGAGATAATTGAATTTGTGTTTCCGCATTTGACATCCCTTGACCTTACAAGTTTGCCTGAACTTAAGGCATTTTTTGCTGGGATCCATTCTCTTCAATGTAAATCCTTGAAAAAAATAAATGTGTTCAAGTGTCCAAAGTTAGAGCTATTTAAGACACAGCCTATGAGCTACCCAGAAAGAACTACAGATGACAAATTACGTGTCTCAACTCATCACCCTGTTTTTACAATTGAAGAGGTATGGGTAGTGCAAAATCTTATCTTTGATGTAGTGAATAATTTTTAGATACCCCAATCTTTTTTATTTTAATTTTTCAATTTATGTTGATTTCTTCAAAGAGAATTTTTTTTAAAATATTTACCTAGCAAAAAGCACTTTTCTTCCATCAGGTGAGAAAACAATTCTTTTTTCAGTTGGGCTGATTGGTCATTTACACTTTTGTTGATATTTTATTTAGTACTAACTATATATATTCTTTTGCCTAGAACAGAGAAGGAAAATATAGATTTGTTAAGGGGAAATGTGTTTCTCGTATCGTAAGAATTAGTGCAATCATCTTTTAATTATGTACTTCCGGTATATAATTTAAAAAAAGCCAGCAACAATTTTTTAACTATGTACTTTCAGGAATATATAATTAAAAAATATAATTTTAATATTATAACTATGGGAAAAATGTTTATCCTTTTAAATGACACAACTTATATCCTTTCACTCTCACATAGAAGTGGGACCCACACCTTTATTTTTTTTTGTCAACTCTCTTTCCTCCTTTATCTATCTCTTTCTCTCTCTTAAAATGACACAACTTTACATCCTTTAAAATGACACACACTTTTCCCTATAACTATATAGTTCCGAGAAATACATAGTTAAAAAATGGCTTCTAGTAACGTGAGGAAAAAGGGACCCTTTCTTCCGTTCTAATTTTGGTCATGCAACAGGTAGTTGCTAATGTGGAGGGGTTGACGCTGAATAATAAAGATTTTGACATCTTATTGCAAAGCCAATATTCAGGGCATCAATTCAGTAAACTTAAATATATTTGGGTGTCCGAATTCACCGATGAAGAAGCCCCTTTTCCATATTGGTTCATTAAAAATGTACCCAATTTGGAATTGTTAGAGGTTGAATGGAGTTCCTTCACAGAGATATTCCAAGACGAACCACTTACAGGTGAGGAAATACAAATCAAAATTAGCACAAGCCCTAAAAAGTTGACATTATGGAAACTACATAAACTTCAACATATATGCAAAGAAGGATTCCAAATTGACCCCATTCTTCAATGTCTTGAAAGCTTATATGTTTCTGAATGTTCTAGTCTGATTAATTTGGTGCCTTCCTCTGTTACTTTTAATTACTTGACTAATTTGGAGATCACAAACTGCATTGGGCTGATAAATTTGATAGCATGCTCAACAGCAAAGAGTCTGGTCAAGCTCACAACAATGAAGATAAAAGGGTGCGATTTATTAGAGGATATAGTGAGTGGAAAAGAAGATGAGACAAACAATGAGATTGCATTTTTCAATTTGCAAACTCTAGAACTTATTTCTTTACCAAGTCTGCACAGGTTTTGCTCATGTAAGTGCTCCACTACGTTTCCAAAGTTAGAAGAAGTAGTTGTAAAAGAATGTCCTCGAATGGAAATTTTTTCTTTGGGAGACACAAGCACACCTGATCTTGAAGAAATACAAATAGGAGAAAATAATGATGAATCTCGTTGGGAGGGTAACCTGAATGAAACAATAAAAACCATGTTTGAAGATAAGCTAAGGTATGTGTTGATCCAAGGGTTCATTTACTTTTCAATGATTTAAGACTATCTGTATTCTGATTCCGTGGGTGGAGAAATTATGGTATTGGGAATATACTTCTGATTTGTCACTTGATATATTAATTTGATATAACAGGTTGCATGTTACAGAGTCCAACATTTGAAGAGCAATAGAATTTGTGGTATGGCCAATTTCATCACAATATGTTTTGCAATTTGAAATATTTATTCTTGCAGAGATGTGATTTTTTATCATATGATTTTTTTTTTCAACAAGTGTACTGTAAATGCTCATTGACTGGAAGAAGTAGCAGTTAGAGACTGGTTCATTGGAAACAATGTTTGATGTGAAAGGTATAAGTCTAGAGATATATTTGTGAAACATGTGAACACAGTATTGATCACTATGTCTAACAGTCACTATTGCAGGATCTTGGAATCTAGTAATGCTTAATATATAGTGTCTTTGTGGAGTTCAGGAAATTGTTGCAATGGAAGAAGAATCAACAAAAAATGCTTAAGAAATGTGATATTTGATCGTATGATCTTTTTAAATATGTTAACTCTGTATTTTGTTGAAAAAAATAATCTCCAATTTTCTTGTTTATTTAAGTCTATGACATTCAACAACGGATAAACCCACAAAGGTTTGGGTGACCTTAGAATTAAAATACTGGGACAAACCCCAAAGGTACGGCAATGGGAATTCTGTGTGTCCTGGTTTTGAGCTGAGTCGACATACAAGCCTCACACAAATAATTGCCTAATGTAAAGTATAATAGCCCATATTAATTAATTAGGAAATCAAGTGTAATTAATTAATTAAACATGTTTTACTGGGTGAAATTAAGTATGAGGCTTAATAAAATGAATCTGAGTCACTTTGGAGTTAAAAAGTGTACTCAGTGAAAATTAAGGGGTATAAATGGGTACTGTCAAAAGTACCCAAAATATAAAAATAAAAATAGTAATATTCCTAGAATAATATTCCAGACTTTTGGGTAAAGTTTGGTAATTATTGGAATTGAATAGATAGACGAACCAATACCCGCTTAAAGCCACTTAACCTATGTTAAGTGACTAAAAGCCAAAATGACCCCCATTTCCCCCAAGTCCCGTCGCCAGAAAACAAAGAGAAGGAGAAGAAGAAGGAGAAAGAAGAGGAAGGAAGGGAGGAAGAGAGAGAGAGAGAGATCAAACCTTGATGGTTTTGGATGATTCAAAAGCCTAAATCGCTTAGAATCTCGCCCTCTTTCATAATCCTAGCTTTGTTTTGAGTGGGGAGCATTGTGGAGAGAGATATTAACTCTCAAAAATTCGGCCCTTTGGTGAAAATTGGGGTTTTGAGAGTTTCTACCTCCATTGAAGCTTGAGGAGCCATCAATCCTTGGTTGTGTGACCATTGGTGGTAAGATTCTAACCCTTGAACCTCATGATTCCTTGAAATTTGCATGAGTTAGGGTTTGTGAATAGTAAATTGGGATTTTTATGAAATGTAGTTGAATTAGCTATGTTCTAGGAAGAATGGAACTTAGAGCATGTTATGGAAAATGCTAGGAATGTCATTTAATCGGTGGAAATGAGCCTAGATAGTCATTTGATAATTGTTCATAATATTGGAAAATTCATGCTTGGATTGGTTAGTATTCTAGCATGTTGAACAATTAGTGAGTTGAATGATTGATTGGATCCTTGTGATGTCTAGGATTGAGACATTTGGACCAACCGTGAGTGATCAACCATTGGAGCAAGCTATGGAGCTTGAATAGCTCATTGGAATTGGTAAGCTCATACTTGGGTTGTGCTTTGAATTGAGTAATTGATGGTTGATTGTGAAATACTCTTGGATGCAATGTGTTGATTGCATTACACCATGTGTAGGTGTATGTTTGTAAAAGTTGATTGCTGAAACTGTTGGTGAAGAACAAAGGTCGACTGAAGCATTGAGGTAAGCCTTCGGACCTTGGGTGTAATTCCCTTGACTGTTCTACCAAGCCCTGAAAGGGTGGAGGTTGTGATTGTGTATATAAATGCAATAAAATAGTGTAATGCTTTGTTATACGTATGTGTATGCATTTGGTGTGGCATAGGATGGTGTTTCCCTATGTGGGTATGTTGCATGACGATGCGTAAATCATACATGGTAGTTAGCTGGCCAGTAGGACTATTTGCATCTGAGTTTCCTTAGGACAGCTTGAGAGCTCGAGGGATTTCTCCTGGAGATGTATTGCACTTTGCATAGATATGTATTTACTGCATTATTATTGTTATTGCTATTACACTGATATGGAACTGTGGGGTGGAGAGATGCTCCAAGGACCCCTGGTTTACTGGATATATTCGTATATCTCACCCCGTGTTTTGGGGACCCCCTTTCAGGTAAGGATGCTGCAGGAGCCTCTGGTGGCAAGTGGCCATACCTAGATTATGCATGAAATATGGCACTTCTTTGAGTTTATGCATGCCTGTTGTAGTTGACATGTATAGGATTTTATTTTGAAAGCCCATGATCATTTGTATATCTTGATTCATTGGATGAACTTAGCCTATGCTCATGCCTTTGGTTACACCTTTTGTTGATGGGAGCCAAGGGAATGATCATAGTGTTTTGTAAGCTAAGTTCTATGATTTGTAAAGGATATGTAATGTAAATGATGCCTACTTGGAATTCAATATATGCATGCTTGTTATGTATTGAGTTGTTGAATTGGTTGGGCTGAAAATCAATTAGGTACCCTCTTCGTTTAAACTGGTAAACGATGAGAAAACAAAGGTCATACTGCCCAAATTCTAGCTAAATCTCATGAGGAGAGGTTGGATGAGTGCTAGGATTTAGTTTTGGGGGCATGGACATTTGGGGTTTGTAAGGGGGATGCATTTTCCCCTAGGCTTGGACTTGAGAAATGTGGGAATTGGAATTCCCTGGCAGCGCGCTTAAGCGCCCAGGAGCGCGCCCAAGCGCCCTGCTGCCCCTGCGAGTGCCAATGCATTCTGCCTCCTCGCGCTGGAGCGCCCAAGTGGGGGCTTAAGCGCCCAGGATTGCGCGCTGGAGCGCCCTGGCGTGCGCTTAAGCGCCCCTTGCTGCAGAAAGTTGGGTGGCTTACTGCCCCCTCGTGTTTTAGCGCCCAGGGTGGGGCTTAAGCGCCCAGGGTTGCGCGCTTGAGCGCCCTGGTCCGCGCTTAAGCGCCCTTCGCCACTGAAGGGGAGATGCTTCTGTCTCTGCGCGCTAAAACGTCCCAGTGGGAGCTTGAGCGCCCAGGCTAGCGCGCCTGAGCGCCCTGTTGCGCGCTTGAGCGCCCATCCACACTGGAAATGCTGATGCTTACTGCCTCCGTGCGCTTAAGCGCCCAGATGGAGGCTTTAGCGCCCGATAGCGCGCGCTTGAGCGCCCGGTAGCGCGCTGAAGCGCGCTGGGCCTGTGACCAACACTCTCTTGTGTTGCTTCAAATGGTCCTAACTTGGGCTACAGTGCTCCGATTTGAGCACGGTTTGAAGCCACAGGTAGCTAATGAAGAAACCTACAATATAGTAGAAGTATTGAACTAAACAAGAAGTAAATTAATGGTTTAAAAATGGGAAAGGAACATGATGTTAAGCTTAATTTATCTGTTTCCGCAAGGTAATATGGTTATGATCACGAAATTGGGTATTATAAGTTCGGTACGTTTTAAAATGAAAAATTTATCCGGATTTTAATTGAACCCATGTGATTGTAACTGCGCTTAATATCATAATGCGATGTTAACAAACCGGTTCTAGAACGGGGTGTTACATAAAGTATATGAGTGTTGGCCCCAAAGGTTTAGCCTAATGAAAAGGGAACAGGAATGATGCCATGAGTAAATATTTAGTATTTATATTTTGTGAAGGAATTAACATTTATTATTGGTGAGGTTAAATAATGTACAATCTTTAAATATATGATTTTTGTTAATGAAATTAAGTCAAGGTATAGAAGGGTAGAATTCTCTATACTTGTATTACCCTGAATAGGGTTGTAGCTTAAAACCTCGAAGTTAATGGGATTTATTCTAATTTTACATTCCTTTGAAATGTCTAACCCATACAGGTACGAGGACTTAAGGGCTCGTAAGAGATGATGCTGTTTTCGCTGCTGGATGAGGCTTTTTTATATCTAAGGTTGTAATAGATGTACACTTGTAGATATATTTGTAATTAGAATTTGATGTTCACCTATTTTGTCATCTGTAAGCAGGTGACAAAATTAGGTGATCTAGTGTGTACTTTTGTAAGTCAATATGTATTGGCGCTTATGTTAGAATAATGTACCGCCGAATCTTAATGCATGTGATATATATGTAAGATATGCAACATCCATTGTTATTTGCAAATAACCTTACTAACGTATACGTTTAGTTATGTCTAAATACTTTCTGCAGCAAAGAGAGGGGCTTTGAATTGGGGAGGTTTGTTGGCAGAAAGGTAAACCTTGTTGATTCTCAATCTTCATTGTTGACTCTTAGAATTTAAATTTATTTTAATTTTTTCAATTTCTTTTTTTTCTTTTCTTTTTTCCATTCTGAGGAACAGTTTTCAATGGAAGGAGTGTCGCACAAGATCAGGCGGCAGATTGAGGAACTGGAGAGTGTTTTTAACCTAAGGTACATTTCTCCCTTTTCGTTCATTGCTTAATTTCGGAATAAAATTGCTGTTTCTTTTTGCTCGGAAGCAATTAATGCAACGAATATGCTATTCCCTGACTAACTGACAGGAAGTGAAGATGAAAGAAATTGTAACAATCCAAGTTGGTGATTTTGCAAACTTCGTAGGCTCTCACTTCTGAGACTTTCAGGTTTCGATGCCTATTCATTCCTCCTCTGTGTTTATTTACCTTCTTTTATATTAAATGTCAGAAATTAGTTCACTTCATATGCAGTTTGCCTTGTTTTATTTATTTCCAGTTGATGTAAACCCTATTTCCCCCCTCTCTCTTTTTTTTTTTTTTCCTCTCCTCATAGTTGAAGTTTTTACTTTACTGATTATATTTTGCTGCAAATACTTTTCAGCTGCTCATTGTTTAATTTTAATCATGTAATATTTCATTTGTGTTCAATTGTAAGGATGAGTTGCTTGGTTTGGCTTCGGATCCTCATGCTGATTCTGTCTTCAAGAAAGGAAACGTTTATGTATTTGGACGACATCATGCTTTAGGTGCATCTGCTTTTGCTTCTTTTCTCTTCAATTTCTCTTTCTACCTAACATTACCTTAATTACCTGTAAATTTCATGACCATTTCATGAAAAAATTCAGGCCATAATTGTGCATATTGACCCTGTTTCAAGTACGAATGGTAGCTCCCCAAGGGAAGCCCGGTAAGCTCTTGACAATTGCTTTTGATGCAACTGAGTTGGATAGAGCCAATAAGAAAAATAAGCCCCAAAAGATTTTGATGCACTTGCTGTGAGTAGCCAAGTGGAAGTAGTTTTGGCACTGAAAATCTGGCAGCATTGCTGATGCCATATTTCAATTATTATTTAACTTCACTATCTCACGTCTATTTTGCTAAGGTTCCTTTCGATGAAAAATAAGCCACTTCACATATAGCTAACCTGCTTGACTGTTTCAGCATAGCAATCTGTGATCTTTCCAACTTGGTCAAACCTGAAGACATTATAACTTCAGAAAATTTAACTACTCCCCTTGCAATTGTTTCCAAGTATTCGCAGAAGGATTGGCTCTGAAGCTATGAAACATTGACAAGCTATGTGGTAACTGATACCATTTTCACTCACAAATTTGAATTTGTGTACTTCCCTGGGATTATTATAAATGGATCATAATTGAAAAATCCCTGTAATTAATCTAAACATTCCATTAATGTTTTCACACCCTTGAAATTTTCTGAGCAGATTTTTGTTTTTCCTTGTGTTATTCCTTATTCTGATTAGGATAAATATTTTAGGTCCCCAAGTCTTCTAGGAAGTTGTATGAGGATACTGACTATGCACCGTATATTGTTACACTCTTCAGTCGTGTTGCAGACAATTTTAGAACTAGTGCACGGGAAAAAGGATTCCAAGTAAGTATTTTTCTTAATTTTAATATGTTGTTTTGATTATGTAAAATAGCAATTATTAATTATGAAGTTAAATATATTTAATACTATACAAAATAAGAAATTATTATTATTTATAAAGGGAAATATTTTTCTCATTTCGTTGGAGATAGCTATCTCATTTTATACACTCATCGAATTTTGTGTCAGTTTTTTCCATTTCTTTTTCCTTTTGTTTTAAAGTGTGGACTCCACATATTTATCTCACACACATGAGAGAACTGTATCAAGCAACATGAGATTAATAATTCCCATTTATAAATTAACTTATTATTGTTATTAAAATTATTATATTAAAATATTTATTTATGTTTACTTTTTTTATTCATGAATTCAAATTATAAATCTAAAGATGTGTGAAACCAATCACTGATTATTTTCCTTATTTAAATTTGTTACATGGCATTTTCTTCTTTTCTTTCCTTTTTTATTTTGCCTGTGATTTGGCATTACCTCTGTATATGTTCTCTTCAATTCAAAAATCATAATCTTTTATTTCCAATTCTGGCGGAATCTGATTTTTTTCCCCTTGATTTTTGTTTCAATCAGTGAGGAAAAAGAAAGGTTCCATTCACATAATTTGTTTTCCAATTATTTACTTTGTTTCTCATTTCCCCTTCCCCTTCCCAGTTCTATATCATATATTATTTACTTTGTTTCTCATGTCTTGGTCTCTTGGAGGGTCTAGTTGAATTGGGTTTTTGGGTGTGAATTACTTAAGATTTTTTAGGGTGAGTGTTGATGGCTTCTCAAATTCCAAACTGTATTCCCTCCCCTTTTCTATTCTGTTGTTTTGTTCTGTCTCTTATGCATGTTAACAAAGTTGAAGAGGAAAAAAAAAAGAGATTTTTATTATTATGTTCTACAAAGTAGCATGGAAAAGAAGAAAAGAGTAGTTTTTTTACTGTTTTGATTTTACTGCTTTTGACAGCTGCAGATAAAATAATGCCAAAGAAGCTTCTTGTTGATTCTTCAACTGAGGGACTCAGTAATTCCCATTCTAATCGTACTTTCGTTGCATGTATGTTGCGTTTGTATTGTTGAATTTTTTTTATTCTGCTATTAATTTGAAATAACATGGTATGTTATCTGCTTTCTTATTCATTATTTAAAGTGACTGTGTATGTTCTTCTGGTTCTTCCTACGGGTGCAAACTCCCCATCTGATGTATCACCATGTGTTTCATTTATTTTATATAAACTAGGTAGTGTTAAAGTAGGTGATATGCATCATGAGTATCTGACTACTGCTTAGGATGTTCCTTATGCTAATGGTGGCTATAATGGGTACTACTATCCAGGTTAGTTTATGTTGGTCAAAGAGCCTATGCTGCTTCCCTACCCATTTCAATTGATTGTATATGTTTATGTTGTCACGTAGATATCTTGATGTGCTGATGCGGATATCTAATTGTATTGAACGTATAATTCAAATAATCAATTTTCTTTGGTTCTGCTTGGCAGGGAATTATAAATCCATTTGTAGAGCAGGATATATTCGAAGTTTCAGAAGTCATCACCCACAACCTCCTGTTAGTCTTCTTACTATTATTGTCGATTTAAATTTTGAAAAATACCCAGAATTTGGAATTCTATTACGATCCTACTCTAAGGTATGGGGACTCGAAGTCCCACATTGGTTATATGGGTGATTAATGTAGGGTTTATATGAACTTTGGACTCTCCTATTTTTTAAACTAGCTTTTGGTGCGTTTGTATCAAATTCCCGTTTCTATCCTTGTGCTTTTTCTGCAAGTATAATTAAAGCATTCAAATTACGTTAAAGTTTGACAATCTGGACCAGCTAAAAATGTGTTCTGAATCACTGTATTAATTGATATTTATATGTCGTATTGATTTTTACAACATAAGTAAAAACTGGATGGTTTACTGAGGAGGCACTTAGTCTGAGTGTCTGATTTACAAGGAAAGAAGCGAGGAGAGATTACAAAACTGAGGGTTTTATATTATTTGACATTTTAAATATTTGTCAAATTGGCAATTATGTGGGAAAATGTTTGTGGAATCCATAAATGTTAGAAATTGTAGGTGCGCATGTGCTTTTGGATTGCTGGAGAAATAGTTTTATTAAAATTTTACTTTATTATGGCATTGTTTTGTGCTTATCTCTATTTTTCATACTTTTTTTTTTAAACAGTTTCCACAGCATTCATTTACTAAGTTATACGAGGGAGCCATGATTGTAAAGCAGAATTTACTTTCAACAGTGACTACTAACAACACTTCTAAGGATGAGAGTGAACAAGAAGAAACGTAAGTCATTTTTGTTTGAGATGACATTCTATGGAAGTATGCTATTGTTCCTGTAAATATGTCATAGCATCCAAAAACATGGTAATGGTTGTCTGTGTTTTATAATTTTGGATGCAGAAACTGTAACATCCCCGTCTCGAGCCGGTTCAATTAACATACATATGATAAAACAGAAAACAGCGGAAGACTTAACTTCTGAAAATACGAGCTAACTTTTTTCTTTTTATTTTTAAATTCTCATTCGTCGTAAACGAAAATCGGGCAAAGTTTCCTCTATAAATCGGACAACTGGGGATTTTCCAATCCCACTCAGAAGCATTTCCTGATAAACAGTTTATACAAATATACTCAAATGCCCATCCATGGGCGCATGCATAACTTGGCTCAGTGCCACTATATCTAACAGCATGCAATCCAACAGGTAAACATATCTGAATACTACCTCATCACATAACGTGCCTGAATACCCAAATGTACATGCATCAAGCGACAGACGTGTACAAAACATATAAGGCCATATACAAAATAAAGGATCAATATCATGATCCATCAAATGCGAAAATACTAAAATACATCAAACACTCCAAAAAGGTAGTAGCCTACAGCCACTCAAAATCCGGTCTGTCAACTGCCTCAGCCACGTGTCGTGTCCCTGCCTAGTGAGGACTCACCGGGAATCTGGGCACCTGAAAATGTGTCCCCAAAGAGGGGTGAGATTACAAATCTCAATAAGCTCCAGATTTATAGAGAATTCTCCATACCCCTGGCTCACTCCTGCATGAAAGTCAGATACAAAGTATACGAATACAACATATAACAGATATCATAACAGAACAGAGCATATATCCATATCATATCAGAGATGTGCGCCGTCATTCCCAAGGGAGGACCCCAAGCGGAAATCAACGCACGTGTTCCCGAGGGAGGACCCCAAAGCGGAACCAAATATATCAGAGGCGTACATCATCAGTCCCGAGGGAGGACCCCAAAGCGGACATCCGGGTACTATACAATCAATGGCCAGAGATTGTTACAGAAATCATATTACAGAAGTCATATCAGAGCAAAACATATCATGTTATCAAATAACTCTATATGAATGCATCTATATAAAGCATCTAAATCACAGTCATACAGTCCAACCATAGTTCACTAACCATGGTGGAGCACTCAAGCAGGAAAAGACTCCTTAAACATAGAGCTTACCTCTTGAAGCTTTACCAATACGCTTACTTGTGGAACAAGTTACTTTTATCACTTCAAGAGATTTCCGATCCTTCTCAATCCCTAGGCACACCTAGAGAATAATTTACAATGCATCAATAAAATGATGCAATACCATAATTATTTCATAAGCATACATTTTATCGCTTATTTTCCTTTCTTTGCATTTTTGCCAATCCTATGCCAATACACAAGTCTAGACCCCTTTATAACCGTTGGTGTTCTTTAATTTAATCAACCATTCCCTTAGGAATTTTCAACATAAATCATGCTACTTTTCTTCAAAACTCATCACTTTTATACAATTTATTACTACACATTTTATTTAAAATAAAATGTACAAATATATCCCTAAATACCCTATAGGTCGAATCCTATAAGGGGAATTTCCAAAGATCCATCTCTTTTACAATACATTTTCTTTACTTCCTTACAACTTGCAAACACCTAGGCATGCATCCACTAGGTTCCTATTTTGAGTTTAGACACCAAGTCCTTCACAACACATCAAGGCCGCAAGATCAAGGTATGTTTCCAAGGATTTTCTTTCCAATGTAATATTCTTACTAATTCATCCAAATTCTACTTACTTGAACAAATAAAACCCCTCTTAAAGCATCAACTAAATTGGCACAATAAATCCTATTAACTCTATCAAAGGCCGAACATAGAGAGGAAATACATGATTTTTCTCTAATTTTTTTACATACTTACAAAGCTTCTTTTCATTTCATACATCAAAATATCAACTATTCCTCATCAATGCATATTCTAACACATCATGCTTTCCCACCCAAGGCATATACACAATTTTATAACTTAAATTATCAAAACAACATCATGTAAATAGAGGTTTGTTACCTCAAATCAACTACCCAAAGCCTAGAAGACCTACACCAAGAGAATCTCCATCAAAAACTTAATTTTGCCCTCTTGATGAATAGTGCACGAATTTGGGGAAGGAAATATCTCCTCACACAACCAATGATAGCTCAAATAAATGGGTGGGATGGATTCATTGAGTGGTTTCCAATCAATTTCATGTGGTGGATCATTGGATTTGGTGGATGGATGATGTAGAAATCAAAGAAAGAAAAACCAAACCCTAAGCCCCCCCCCCCCCCCCCCCCCCCCCTTGTCCAAAGTGCAGATCGGTTTTGGAAGAAAGAGAAGAATGGAAAGCTTATGTGAATAGTGATCTTTAAAGTGACAAGGCTTTATAACACATGTGACCTTTTAACAGATATTTTTCTTTCGCGTATTTTCACTTAGACTGACCCGGAACTAACTCAAAGCTACAAACATATTTTTATTTCCTAAAATCATTTACATTAATTTTTATTTCCTAAGGAACAATATTCATAATTCACAGTATGGTTTTTGCACCGTTTTTGACGAAATGCACTGTGCATCACTAATTGTACTTCATTTACTTACGAAACTTAAAACTTATAAACTTATCATTTTCTTGGGCCTATATTGACTTGCTCGGCATATATTGGACTTTCTTATTCTTATTTCATCAATTATTTATTTCTGGACTCTACCGGTTGCTTAAACAGCAGTACAAAATACCCGGTAGAAACACTATTCACGAGATTTTCACGGAAAGTGCCAGACTATACAATTTTTCGTTCTGAACTCATATTTGTCATCAGAATTTTCAAATTATGTTCCTAAAATTATTTTGCTCATTTTAAGCTCTACCGGTTAATTCACAAAACTGTAAATTCTCCGGCAGAACGCACTGTTCATAACATAGTCATGATTACAGTCAAAATACTCGAAATCGCTCACTGAATCTAATTATGGCATTTAAATCCTTAAATTAAATCTCTAACTAAGATTTACCAGTTAGGGTCATTATAGAAACAATGTTCATTATCTAGATCATTTCACCATAGTTTGGTTAAGATTACTGGCACCATCATTTCACCAATGTATACTTTGTAAACTATCACACACAAAAAAAACCATCCCAACACATAATCAGCCTGTGCAAGATCATTTACCCCAAATCGCACCACCACACACCCATTTACTCCAAGACAGAGTCACAACCCTTATAGATCCCAAGTGTGGAGATCTATCTTATACGTTTAATTGGTAATTTCACCTATTTTCTGTGTTATTTTCGTTACTTAAGTTCATTTTTGCATTCAAGAGCAGTATCATTTAATTAGGCCAGGAACATTTAGCTAATTAGGGATCCAAGGCTTCACTAGGTACAAATAGCATGATCTTTTTGATTTATTTGGCTTAATGGGCTGTTTTGTATTTTAGGTGGTCTAGGATCCAAATGAAGAAGAAGGCCAACATAGCTCAATGCAAAGAAAAAATAGAGGAAAAAGAAGAAACACTGAAAAGTGAGCCAGGGGACAAAAGCAGAAAAAAGAGAAAAATACTCAGTTGCCGCCTCTTTCTCCCATTACCAGAAATGGACAAACACTAGAAAAAGCACACTACACTCCAAGAAAAAGGGAATTTACCGGCTTTATATGGTGGCGGCACACCAAATTAAAAGAAAAAGCAAGGGAAAAGTAGGCTAACTCGTACAATAAGGGCTGAGCTGACACACAGCATTGTCCCCCATCGAGAGCAAAAGACAATCCTGGCCATTAGATCAAGATCAAGCGCCAAGACAAAACCTTGGGAGGACCTCATGCCTATAAATAGGAGGGAAGACATAAACCTTAGAAGTCTTTGGCAAATCCATCGTCTTCCTCAATGTGTTCAGCCATTTTCATTTTCTTAGTTTAGGTTTTGTGATTCCAGTTAGCTTTTCTTTTTATAATATTTCTTAGTATGAGCTAAATTTTCCAAGTAGACAGGGGGAAGTAGAAGTACCTCTCTTAGATTGAACTTATTATGCAGGCTCATTTCTTTAATGGAATTTATGATGTTTCCAGTTTTAATGTTTCAATTGTGTTGAGATATATAAAATTATTAATGTAGCATCACCTAACAGTTTAAGCTTTTGGGTTGAATTAGTTCTTTACATAGTATCAGAGCTTTCGGTCTATCAGATTCGATCCTCATCGCCCCACACTTTCTTTCTAGTGGAATTTCTTTCTTCGCACAAGTAGGTGGACCTGTGCATTATCCACCATTCAAGCCAAGTGGACTCTCGTGTGAGGGGACATGTTGAGATATATAAAACCATTAATGTAACCTCATCGAACGGCTTAAATTTTTGGGATTTCAACTCTCGAAAGAGAGTGATTTCTGGAAAGGGAATACATTAGTTGTGTGTAGAGTTGCTCCGTAGCAGCCCTTGCGCAGGTACCTTAGAAATAAGCAGCAACACAATCTCCCATTGGTCTTAAACTAATAGGATTCTGGTAGTTTGGAGTATAGAAATATGCGGAAATGTCTCTAAGTAGCAAAATTGGTGCCAAAGAAATCTATATCCAAGGCAATGAAAGAACTCCCCGAGTAAAATCCATTGTAAGGAGCAGTTACTAGTCTTACGAACGAACCAAGAGTGGAAAAAATATCACTCATGCCTTCGCCTTTTATCATTAGATTAAAGTTATCTCTATTTAACTGTTATTTTCTTTTTATATTTTAAAAAATATAAAATTTCCAAAAATAGTTCTTTTCATCGTTGCAATTTATTTTTACTTTTGTTCCTGAAAAATTATTCATTTTTCTCAACTCGTAAGGTAGAATTCAAACTATGATTAGAGAGAAAAACCCATTTCATTATTATTCTAGAATCATTGACTCAATTCAATTGAGCTGGACTCATTGTTGTCAAAAACTAGTGTAAAATTTACGTTTTTACATTTTTACTAGAATGGTGCGTGTTAAAACGCAAGTAAAAATGATCCTTGGTAAAAACTGATAAAAATGCTGTGTAAAAACGGTAAAAACTTACGTTTTTACCGTTTTGACCGTTTTTACTTAAAATGAAAAAGAAATTAAAAAAAATTACAAAAAAAGAAATAAAAAAACCCCAATTTTTCGTTTTTCCCAAATCACATGCACAATATCTTAATATCTTTTTGTTTGAATATATGTCTTTTATAATCATGTTTTATAAAGCTGCAGTTCTATTATAAGTTATGTTATGAGAATCATTTTGTGTTTTTGGATCATTGTGTGCATTGAAAGAAGTGAAATTATATCCTGATGAGCGATGATCCAAAATCTGCAGAGTGTATGAAGCAATTAGAGCAGATTGGTTACCCATTACTTGTTAGTTATCACTTTTTATAATTTTGATACTTGGTTATCAAAAATAATTTTCCTTTTTAGATAGATAAATGGCTCAACACACATGTTCATTATGTGATATTTTTTTTACATGTATATATATAAGTAATTTTGTATCTTAACCTTAAGTAGTAGAAAGTAGAAACTTTACGTTTCGTATCGTTTCTACATTTTACGTTTCTACGTTTTACGTTTCTACCACCATTTTCCATTTCTACATAAAAACTCGAGTTTGACAACATTAGAGTTGGTGACAAGTGCCTATTTGGCTAACATCAACCATAAGATGGTTCACGCCTTAATACGTATTTGCTCACATCTTTTTATTTTGTTCCCAATTATTTCATTCATCTCATTTGTATCTATTTTATTTGTATCAACTTTTTTTACAACTTGTATTATTTGACGTGTAAGCTTGTTCGATGAGAGAAGTTTTGCTCATCAAATATAACATTTGCTTCTTATATTTTATTTTGCTCCCACATTACCTCTAGCAAATCTCGGCCAGCAACCCTCTACCCAATTCCTTTCAACCAAAGCACTGAACACCTTGAGTTCACATCAAACTAAAGAAGCCATAAAGATATCCCACACATTATCATCAAGAAAACCCATTGAAATTCCTTCATCACGACCTTTTCTGACCCAGTCATTCCCAACCTTTCAACATCGAAGGTGAGTCACCATGGAAGCACCATATTTGGAAAAAAGCACCAAGTGGATGTTGTGCTGTGAGTCGGTTAACAACGTCGTTTGTGAAATTTTGCAGAACGGAGACTTTGTAGGATCTTTGATGAGATTTCTACAAAGATAGTTTTCAGGCTGAAGTGAGATTTCTACATTTTCGTTTAGTGGGCTTAAGTTAGTTTTATACTATATGGGTTGGGTCCTTTAGTTTGTAGGGTTAACTTTTATAATTATGCAGTCATTACTAGTAATGATTGGTTTTCTTATTTGTTTACTCTTTGGGTGGATTATTTTGTTTGCTTATTCATCACAATTAACATATTGGTCATTGTTTTTATTAATTTAAATTAGCCAAGTCACAATTATATATTTCTTTAAAAATTATATGACTTTGATTTTCATTGCAATGAGGCACATGTAAAACCAACATTTAAACCAAACTATAAATTTTCTCAAATTTTAACTCAGTCTTTATTCTTTGTTTGTCTTTTTTTCTTTTGTAAATGTCTTAGTTCATCTTTTTTTTTCCTGAAACTATTTTGAAATTTAGTGCCTGTTTGAATCCTCTTATTTTTAAGCTAAAAGCTACTTATAAGCATAAGCTAGGCCAAACAGGTTTTGGAAAAAGCTCTTATAACGAAAAACTCTTTTTTTTATAATGAAGAAAAAAGCTGAAAATTAAAAGCTCCTAGGAGGAGCTTTTTTTTAAGCTCTTATCTGTTTTTCTTGAATTGTGTGTTTTTTTTTTTAAATGAAGAGTGATAAAGATAGAGAGAGAAATAATTTTCTTGAAATATGTGCTTTTAACTAATTTTTAAGCTAAATTTTTTATGTAATTTCCAAATAGCTTTTAGCTTCTTTTTTTTAGCTTTAGCTTATAAGTAGCTTCTAGCTTAAAAATAAGAGGATCCAAACAGGCTCTTAGTCTTGTTATTGTTTTTGACTTTGTAAGTATTTTAATCAATTTTACTAAATTTAATTTAATTTGTCAATAGAAAATATATTTCTTGAAAATATTTATTTAGTTTAAACATTAATTTCTAAAAATAGAACTTAATATTCACTATGCGATTATTGTTAGACTAAAACATTCATATGCAATATTATTATATTTTATTCTACACCCTAAACATTAATTTCTACATGACTTTTACTCTATTATGCTATATTTTTATTTTATTCTACAGTTCTGATAGGGTTTGGACTTTAAAGAATTCATATGCAAAGAGATTTTTGGCGTAATTGACGGCAAATCAGTATTGATAGCACTACCAAGCCGTGGTTTCATAAAATTAAGCCAATTTTTGTCTTAAATCCTAATAGGAATCGATAGGGATATGCAAAATAACTAAAAAAAACTAAACTAAACCGTGAACCGAACTAAACTACACTTAAAATAACCGCTTTTTAAAAATTAGTTTTATGAACTGAACCGATTTTCAAAGAACCAGTTCATGAACTGAACTGGTTTTTAAAACGAGTTCAAGAACTGAATCGTTTTCGAACCTAACCAATTTCAAACTGAACTGAACTGATTTTTATTACTTTATTTCTTTATTTTTTTTCTTTTCAGAATAGAGTCGACTCGAACTGATTTCAAACTGAACTGAACCATTTTTGAACCGAACTAAATCAGTTTTGAAACGAACCGGTTTTGAACCGAACCGAACTGTTTAAACCAATTCGGTTCGATTTTTCAAAAAATTCAGTGTAATTCGAGCCATGCACACCCCTAGGAACTGAGTGCCTATACACTATTATGGAACCGTCAAGTTCTTATCATCTTTGTCCCTTTTCAATGTTTTATATATTCCTCAATTTACCATTAATTTGATTTCTATGTCTAAGTTGATCACTTATTGAGTTGTTACCAAATCTTTCATGGTTCTATGTGTCATATTAAACAAATGTATTCCAAGAAAATGATTGGTTCATCTAACAATAGAATGGATTGTGCGATCTAGTCACTTAAAATTTCAGTAACGACTGGTCTCTCAAATTCAAAATAAAAATAAAACAAGTGTTTGCAAAATAAATAAATAACACATGAAAGCATTTACATCTGAAGGTCGATTCCATAGGGCTGAAGAGATACGAAGGTCGTTTCCAAATAGTTGTGGAATCCTAGAAGTGTTGGAATCGACACAATCACACACACAATTTCAAATTGAAAAGAGGGACAAGAAGTGTAACACCCCGTAGTACTCCGGTTTTTAACATACATGATATTTAACATTCACAGCGGAAGACTTTATTTGAAAAGGAATAAAGCATCTTATAAAAATACGAGTAAACTTTTTCCAAAACATTTCATAAAAACATTTCTAAAAACGTTCACGTCAGATACTGCGAAAGCGTAAATCTGAATATACATCTACTAATTAATCCCATGAGCCAGTATTAGTGGCCATTGACCACCAAGATATGACATCAAGTGTCATTCCTGACGGAGTCTCACGGACAGCATAACGACTGTATTTCGGATAACTAGAAACATGATTCCACACATACAGATAACCTAATTAATACAACAATTTAAACAGATAGCTTGCAAGTCCCACACGGACTGCAATCCCCTTAATGGGTCAATACAACTAATAAGGCTCCATGCCCAAATTAACTGAATACATGCATCAAGTCTATATTAATTCGAAGTATAAAAGTATCAGTAAATAATCCATGGCTCTAAGAATACTATCATGAGCCTAAATAAATACATACAATAATCTCCATAAAATAATTAAGCATGTTAACAAGTCTACATGCCAACATCAAATCTAAACATAATATAAAATCATCAGCTGCATCATCAACTACTCCAATGCGGGGGCCTTGCCCCTAGAAGCATCACCACTACTCTGGGTACCTGAAATGATGTCCCCAAACGGGGTAAGATAACAACATCTCAGTAAGCTCAAGGTTCATAGAGGATCCTCTAACCCCTGAGCCCACTTCCTGCATAACAAGTCAGATATAAAGCATATAATACAGACATACA